GCGTTGGACTTCTACTTCAGAACTGTCGTTCACGGTAACGGCGAATTCTGTCTTCCTTCGAAAGAGAAATTTTGAACCGATCTAAAGAACTGATATTCATCCCGTACGACACGCCCGGCCAGCAAGCCGATTGCACGAAGACGTCGCCGAGCCGTCGTTCCTTCTCGTGGCTGAAGACATTGGTCGCTCAAACGTGAAGCACGAAGTGCGCACTTCGAGTTGAATACGCACGCGTACGGTTTCTTTACGAGGTGCGAATGTGGCCTATGCGTGGTGCTGCCCGACTTCAAGCCGAGAGTGCATGTATTGAAGGGAAATCGGCAGCAAACTTCCGACATACAGTCTACCGGCTTGCTTCAGTACCTCAGTGAAAAGGCGTCCAATTCACACGCAGCGGGCACGGGTTTGATCCTTGGTGTGAGTGTACCATTTCCTTTTTTTTTTGTCAAGCATTTTGCCATGTTTACATTTCTTTAACAATTATCACTAACCAAAAAATTGTTGTGGACGATACGTCGCTGAACTAAATGGTATGGGATTTCATTTTTACACCTGCGAACTCAATGTAGTCACTTTCCACAAAAAGCAAGGAGCATATGAATAGGGTAGCGTCCGCTTTCCGAGCTTCGCGTAACTGTTCTACAGGAATTGCAGCCAGTCATTGATCCCGACCCGTTCATCTTTCGGAAACTTGTGCACTCTGCCGCACTATGCCACTTTCAGATGCAGGACATGTGAGGCAGCTCTTCACGCAACATCTTGGGAGTATTCTTTTCAGCGCCGATCACGGGGAATTCACCACGGGCACTCACTACTCATTTCCAACACTTAAATGTACAAAACAACTCATCTTGAAGTACAGAACAGCGAGCGGAACAAACATAACTGCAAAGAAATCGCACGGCAAACGGATCACGGAATGCATGTCGTCTGCTACGTGCAATAAAAAAAAAAAAAAACACTGTTGGGTGTAGCTACGTGATTTCCGCCACTGACTCTATCCTCTCCACTTCTCCGTGGGGTGCCGGAGGTTCGGTTTCGGGCAAAAATTGCGGTGGCTTAGCTCGGCTATGCCAGGATATACGTAGCGTGAGCTTATGCGCACAAAATGAGAGGCGCTATCAAGCGGCTCCGGTGCAGCGTCAGACTTGGCTACTGCGCCACGAAGGCGGACAGCTGTGCACGCGGCGGCGCCAGTGCGTCTGCCGCGGCTATGACGTCACTCCTCTGGAATGTGCAGCCCGGTCAGGCGCGCGCGATGGCGATGGAGCCGCGTGGCGGCGGCGCCTCCGGCGCGCCAGCTGTGCGCCGTGTGACGTAACTGCTCTTCGCGCATGCGCAGACGGGCGAGGCGCGCGCGGCGGTGGTGGCGGCTTCGGCGCGCCAGCTGTGCGCCGTGTGACGTCACTGCTCCTCGCGCTTGCGCAGCACGGTGCACTGCTCAACCTCGGCCAGTGTAGCTCACGCTACAAAAATACGTGACTCTGTAGCAAAATATTAATTTGGTAGTACTCCGACACCATAATAAATCGCCTGACAAAAAAGGAAAAAAAAACTTTTGGGGGGGTGTCAGTGTCCCTTTATTTATTTATTTATTTATTGTACCCTCAGGGCCCGAGGGCATTACAGAGGGTAGTGGGTTACAAAAGTAAAATCACTAAAAAACAAAATGACAACCTAAGAATAGAAACACGAACATAAGAAATTTTAACTTAGAAAAGTGGTTAAACAACGCTTAAACATGATGGCATCTGTTACAGACACAACTGACGATGGAAGGTGGTTCCACGTGATTGTTGTTTTGGGGATGAATGAATTATAAAAAGTAGTGGTTTTACAAACAGGTAGACCGATTTTGTGTTGGTGTTTGACGCGTGGCGAGACATATGAGGGAGGAGTTAGTAATTTTTGATGCAAGGAAGAATTGTGATGATAAATTTTATGAAACAGACAAAGACGGGATAACTCACGACGCGAAGAAAGGTTAGGTAGGTTTAAAAACGTTTTCATGGATGTTACGCTTGCACTACGGTGATAGTTAGTAAGAATGAAGCGAACAGATCTATTTTGAATACCTTCGACTGCTGTTGTAAGTAAGTCGGTACCGGGATCCCATATAGGGGAGGCGTGTTCCAATTTTGAGCGGACAAGGGTTTTGTATAGGAGTAGCTTGAGAGATACAGGGACAGATGGAAAATTACGTTTGAGAAAGCCAAGCATGCGGTTAGCATTATTAGTTATGTAGCGAATATGAGGCTCCCAAGACAGGTTCGATGAAATATGGATCCCCAAGTACTTATACGATGATACACCTTCAAACAAAACACTGTTTAGATAGTAGAAAGTAGAGTGCGAGTTAAGACGAGAAACAGTCATTACTTTACATTTGCTAGTGTTGAGCTGCATGTTCCATTTGTTACACCAATTAGAAACACAATCAAGGTCAGACTGAAGGATAGCAACATCAGAGGTGTTAGTTATTTCTCGGTAAAGAACGCAATCATCTGCAAATAAGCTAATAGAGGACGAAACGCAGGAAGGTAAGTCGTTGATAAAAATAAGAAAGAGCAGGGGACCTAACACTGAACCTTGAGGTACGCCTGATGTCACGGGAGCTGGACTTGAAGAGGTATTATTCACAGACACAAATTGAGATCGGTTATGAAGGAAAGCGCGAATCCATGAAAGTACACCCTGATCAATGTTAAGTTTGATAAGCTTATGGAGTAGTAGATTATGTGACACCTTATCGAAAGCTTTGGCGAAATCAAAGAAAATACAATCCACCTGGGAACCATGATCAAGAATAAGGTGAAGGTCATGAATGAAAGTGAGTGGCTGAGTTTCACACGAAAATGATTTACGGAAGCCATGTTGTGCAGAAGCAAAGAATGAATTGGATTCTAGGTGTTGAACGAGATGAGAAAAAATAATATGCTCAAGAATTTTACACGGAATGCTTGTTATGGAAATGGGACGGTAATTGAGAGGAGAATGATGATCACCGGTTTTATGCACGGGCACCACTTTACCCACCTTCCAATCGTCAGGTAAACAGCCTAGAGTAAGTGATTGCACAAATAATTTAGACAGTATTATAGAAGAATACTCTTTTGTTCTTAGCAAAAATTTAGAATTAATTCCGTCAACTCCCGCGGAGCAGGATATTTTTAGCTGTTCAATTATCTTTATAATTCCACTTGTTTGAATTAAGATGGGATACATGGGCAGAAAAGCGCGTTGTTGAAGTTGAGGTAAAGTTGAAGAAATACAGTTTAAAAATGATTCAACAAAAGTAGAATTGAAAACATTTGCACAGTCATCGGTGGAAACAGGTTCACCTGATAAAGTAAACAGGGACAGTGTGGTGTTTTTATTGCCGTTAATCGCCTTCCAAAACTGTTTGACGTTGTTGGTTAGTAGTGATGGCAGGGTGATAGAAAAATAAACTGACTTTGCATCCGCGATTGCACTTTTATAAGCATTGGCAGCCTCATGATACTTGAGCCATTTAACCTCCGAATTTGTTAACTTTGCTGCACGAAATTTGCGCTTCTTTTTATTGGAAAGTCTTTTTAGGGTGTTATTGAACCAAGGGGAATTCGAAACAATTGGGATGTTACCTAGCGGTATATGTTTATTGGTTAGGAGCTCAACCTGCGTCTTAAACAATGTCCAATTTAATTCTAAAGAACGGTCAGAAAAGTGGTCTAAGTAATCGTTAAGAAAAAGGCCAAGGGCACCGTTAATAGAGTCATTGTCACCTCTACCATAGTCTCGTATTTTTTTAAGAGTTCGCTGTGCTGTTTTGGCTGGCACATCAAGTGAAAAATATAGTAGCGAATGGTCGCTGGGAGCCGGCATGAAAGTAACAGAAGAAATAAGTTCAGGTGAAGTTGACAAAATGAGATCTAAAACGTTTGCAGTTGTAGCAGTGATTCGAGTAGGAAGAGACACTAGCTGCGAAAAACTGAAGTCATCACATAACTTTATAAAATCTTCCGCAGCTGATGAGAAAGGGTTAGAGAAAATATGCGGGTGAGACCATTTTATTTGAGGATAATTGAAATCACCAAGGAGGAGTATAGGAGATGAAGGAAAGCGCACTATTATTGAGCTCAAAACATCATGAAGATTCGAAACAAAAGAAGGATTAGCTGATGGCGGACGATAACACACGGCTAAGATAACTTTTTGGAAGTTCAAACACAAGCAACAACAAACTATTTCTAAATCACTATTCAAACGCACACAGAAAGAATCAATGTGATCGGCAACTGCCAATAAAACGCCACCTCCATTTCGTGCACCCCTATCACAACGGTAGACATTAAAACGCTTATCACAACTAAATAATTCACAATTCCGAACATTCGATGACAGCCACGTTTCGGTTAAAGCTACTACGTCAGCGCTACAAGAATCAATAACTGAACACAATTCATCACGATGACGTAAAATACTCCTTATATTGCTAAAAAGTGCCGACACATTTTTGGATAAAGGAATAGCACCCACGCCCCTTGCCACATGTTATGGTGAAGAAGACGTTTGATGTGTGTTACGAAGCATGTTAACGTTATCTCCTTCGCGCCTATCAGATGAGGGCGTTTGATGCAAGTTAAGGGGAATGTCAGTGTCCCTTTAGGACGTCGACATGGACAAATAAAATGCAGCAAAATTGTGGCGTATGTGGAGAATGACTTAAATCGTGTAAACTTCTCACTCGAAGAATTTTTGACGCTCAAGGCTATTTCACTTCCCAGTTTTCTAATTTCGCATCAATTGAAAATTAAAATAGCTTAGCATGCCCTTAAACATTAGTAGCAGGTACTGTTGTCTACTTGACCGGTATCTGGCCAACATACAAAGCAGAATATAATGGTAATCGTTTGTTTACAGTGTCACTCTACACGATGCATCCAATAATAGTCATACCCAAAAACCGTAACCGCCAACACCATTGCATAGCGTCCTGATGAAACTCAAGTGCAGCTTACCACATATTATGGGATCGGTTGACGGTCTTGGAGCTGGTGGCTGAGGCGCTGGTGTTGACTTCGGGGATGCTTCCTTTTGTTTTGCCTGCATGCCTGTGGTGGCTGCTGCTTTCTTCTGTGCTGATGTTTCGGTAGAGCTTGCAAGTTGCTTCGGGGTTGCTGATGCCTTCTCGACCGAAGTCTTCACCTTCTGAGCATTGCCGAAAACCGGTGAACTTGAAAGTAAAAAGTACGCTAGCATCCACTTAATCTCCATAACCGACGGCGATTCCTTGGCTTCTTAGGGGCTCTACAGTCAAGTGAGCGCGTAGACGACCTTTAAATAGACAACTGAAGTGCCTCCATGTGCCCTTTGACGTCAATGTTCACAAAATACGATTCGGCGCTCCCAAAATAAACATTTATAAAATTCAGAAAGCGAAAACAAGCTGTTCGTATATTAAAGGGATGGTCGGGTAAAATTTTGTTTTTCAGAAAATAGTTCAATTAATGTCATGGCTTTTATAAATATCATCCACACAATATTCGAACTTTTAATCCACCGCCGCACAAGCAATTCATTATTAAACAGAACTCAACTGCTCAGATTGCGCCTGCTAAACGCAGAGTGTTTTCGTCGGCAACAGCGGAAGCCCTGACGTAACATCAAGCAAAGACAGCGACCTCAGCTTTTGACTGCTGTCTCAGTAAAATAACTTAATTCTAGAAAGACAAGATTTACGGTATCGAAGGAAGCTCAATTCTTCGACGATGATTTTTGTACGACACTTCATCAACCATGTTGATCAAAACCGGGAATAAGTCAAGGCCCGCGGCTCTGACATGCTTATGGTGAAGAGACGACACGTCCAGTCAAGCACGCTTGCGAAATTTGACGCGAGGTTTCGTATTGATGTTTATAATTAATTTACCAAATATTGGAGCGTCTTTCAATGAAATAAATATTACATATGACTCTATTTAGGCCCTCTTTACATGACCAGCGCAAAAGCGTAGTAACTTCCGGATATCACCGGACAAGGCGACGATTCGATCGACGGCACGCACGCACTAATATATATGACTCGCGAGTGACTTATCCCCTGGGAAGTGGTCGAAGTTGGGACATGTCGGTGAAACTAGCGCGCTAATTTCACCCCACATGTCCAAACATCACCACTTCCTCAGGGATAAGCCCCTCGCAAGTCATATTTATTGGTGCGTGCGTGCCATCGATCGAATGTCCGGTGATATCAGGAAGTTATAGTTTTTTTCGCTGGTCACATAGAGAGCTTCCAAATATAGTCATATGTGATATTTATTTCCGTAAAAGACTCCCCAATTTGCGGTGAATTAAATATGGACATCAATACGAAACTTCCCGTCAAATTTTCCAAGCGTGTTTGACTGGACCATAGAGTTATTACAATAAACGCTAGAGGCTCAGCTGGCGCTAGTGTCTATGGGTGTTCCGGTTGCAAATTGAAGCAGACAGCATTCATTCTAGATTTCCAGTCTTCCTGTGTATTCCTATGGGAAAACGCGCGTCAATTTTGTCTCGTCGCCGGAAAATAACATAAATAACTTTTGTTATTTTGGTTGTACCAAGTAGTATGTACCTTTATTAATATTGTGAAAGTGTAATTGCTTTAGTTACAGCCTTTTTCCTTTACCACTGAACGATGCTAAACTTCGCTATATTTCAGGCCCAAACTTCTGTTTCATGGCAGGTATGTAGAAACGAGCGACGATTCTAAGCAAAATAACGATCGAAAGGAATGTAGAGTGTGTTCAAAGTTTACCAGCATTCTGTTGGTGCTTATATATTGCTAATATGCCTGTCCTCTCACCATAGGAAAATGACCCTGCTGTGCATCTTTACGAGAGGTTAACAAAAACGTTCGAAACGTAAAGAGTAAAGTACGATTACTACGAAAGGTGTGTTTTCTTATTATTTCCTATGTTGGGCAGTTTTTATTGCGCACCTGTCCTCTGGCTTCCCCCTGTTTGCAAAGATTTGGAGCATGTGGGTGATGATTTGAACACAGAACAAGCATCTTCGCACATATTCGTGAGCAGAAAAAATAAAGCAGTACTTATTTACTGCAAATCTGATTATATTACGTGGCTTTCAATTTATTTCGATCGTCTGCGTGCACAAGGAGTTGCTTCTCCAGTATTACTGCGTAGTTCTTGCCGTCTCTCTTGGTTTTCTACATGTCCTTCGTTCGTTTAACACGTATATTCCCCATGCTGGAAAGCGTCGACGCCGTGTTCGCGCTAACAGTGTCCGACAGTGCAAATACACGTACGAAGCGGTTTTAACACCGTTTTTTATGCAAGAAATTTCAAATAAAAATGCTGTAACTGACCAATTATTTCGTCTGAGTGACTGTGAAATGCTCCAATGTGCCTAGTACGTACAAATTATTCGTGATATTTGCTCTTATAATCGAGCGCCGAGAGAAAATGCTCTCGCTTTTTCCCATGGAGATGCATTACGCGAAGTCAATTTCTGACTGCTTGCTGTCTGCTTCAAAATGCAACAGCACACTAGCGCCAGCTGAGCCTCTAGCGTTTATTGTAATAACTCTATGGACTGGACGCGTCGTTACGTCACACCAGGCACGTCAGAGTCGCGGGCCTTGACTTAATCCCAGTTTTGATCAACATGGTTGATGGTGCGTACAAAGATCATCGTCGAAGCATTGAGCTTCCTTCAATACCGTAAATGTTGTTTTGCTTAGAATTAAGTCATTTTACTGAGATAGAACTCAAACGCTGAGGTGGCTCTCTTTGCCTGATGTTACATCAGGACTTGTGCATATCTTAAGTATTCTACTCAAGATATTGCATTTCAAGTACTTTTGGTAGCATTTCGGTATCTTGCAAATACATTTCGTTAGTGTAATTGCCCTACTCTATCTTAATTACATTGCTAACTATGTTGTACTCAGTACCTCAAATACATTTTTCAACTTTCGAACATATTTGTCGCTGGAACAATCTACGGACTAGGGATCGTCAGACTCCAGGGCAAAGCTGAACCGATTTCAAACTTGCAGGCAAGCGACCAAACACAGCACAAGAAACAAGGCACGACCAAACCGCAGTCTCCGAATGCCAACAAAAGACAAAATGAATAGAACGCCCTCCTTAACTTGTAAGCTTGTCCGCTTCTTTTATCTTCTTTTTTTTCTTCTTCAAGTTGTTTTTGAATGGCACACTGCGCTTGGAGCTAGCAAAGTGCTGGTGACGTAATCTGGAGTGTACACTTAGGCCCCGCCTTTTTTTCTGAAGCTAGACTACTTCCGTCAGCGAAAGATTGTGACGCCAAAGCTCGATACGGTCACAATGAACCATGTCCGAAATTCGCCATTTCAAGGGTTCTGGTATGAAAATGCGCGAGTAGACTGGCCTTCCCTAAAGACCCTTGTCTCCCTATTGTGGCTTAGCTTTCGCTCCCTAGCTCATTTAAAAGCGTTTCTTTTATCTTCTTTCGAATACGCATTTTTTTTTTTTTTTGAGAATCCTCCAACCCAGTTTTCTGCTAGGTGGAGTAAGGGATTGAAAGCGATCTCGTGGACACTTTCTTGTGTTACTTGTGTTTCCGTCTTAATCTTTCTAATATTTTTTTTTTTTTTTTTTAAGTTTGAGTATACATTCGTTCCTTCTCGCGCTTGGCTCGGGACACAAAATACTCGTCCTTGGTTGTCGACCAGCGACAGACGCTGCTGTCATCTAGCCGATGTTTCATCCTCAGCGTGCACGTTAGTCGTTCAATCACGTACTCATCATCAAGTCTGGCTGCCTGATCAACTTCTATGCTCTGTTCACCCTTAAGCTAAACCTGCAGCCAAAGCTACAAGGGCGAGCTGGCCCGTGCTCCTGGCTTTAAGACGTGCATTTTTAGCGCGAGTGCTCGTTCTGCGGAAGAACGCTTTAAAACAGCGACCTCGAGCTCTCGAGTCTGCGGCAATGGCTGCAGTCTCAACTAGGGTGAACAGAGTATAGTTGGGCTGTTAGGGATATGCAATGCCGCACTGTGTGTGAAGTCCGTCGAATCGCGTCAAGACATAATACGAACTTAATGCGGAATGCGTCATGAGCCGAGCACGCAGCCAAACTAAAGCACGCCAGTTGCCATGCCTACAATAAATACGTGAGTCCCCGTTGTTCTTAAAATCGTTTGGTGCCTACGATGTTGCATATTCCGAACTTCGATTGCAGGAGCTAAGTGCTCTTTGAGACATTAAGATCACAAGGGAATGTGAGTTTCAGCGAAGTCATCACAAATAAAGCACCCCCTTTTTACTTTTTTAGTTCTTATATTACCTGCTTGCAACTTACATGATGAGTACCGTCGAATGTAGTTGCTAAATTACCGAAGCATCGAGGAGAATGCCGGGATTGCTGTTCCACGCGCCGCACGTGCTGGCATCAGCAGAACTTTTCTAAAGAAAATATTCAAAACAAATGGCATCTTCCACACGCATTCGTCCACGCTTTATTTTGGCTATTACCTTGGAATATTTTATACGGGAAAACCGTGCGTGTGTGGTGCGTAGAACAACGATTCCCGCATTCTCCTTGCTTGGGTGACAAAGCAATAGGTCTATTACTTTTTCAAAGTAATAGGAGCGCATCTCATCCCCGGCGGCACCGCGCCCCGTGGAGAGATAGTGCAATAGCCTCTGCTGCGTCGCGCGATGGCAGTGCAGCAGGGGTTGGATGCACTATCTTTCCACGGGGCGCGGTGCTGCCGGGGCCGAGATGCGCTCCGATAGCAAACCGAAACTCAAAAACCCGTCGAATATGTGCGGTTTTTCAGAAAGCTGTAAAATGCTTTGCGTGCCTTCTATCGTTCTACAATATGCTGATTTAGTGTTTTTTGACGATGCTGAGCAATTTTCTAATTAAAAACATGCCCTTAAAGTCAATATTAAAAAAGTTAGTTACGCAAAAATAATTAACAATTAAATTATCCCGGACTTTAATATTTTCTTAAATAGGCCCCTGGCCCAAAACCAAAACGACACAAACCTTCTTTTGTTGTGACGAGTAGTTTTCGCAATATCGAATTTCTCCACCTTTCGTGAAACACCCTGTATATGTAGACATGATGATTGGAACTTGTAGGCCGGTGATTATTGAAATACACAAAAAAATCCATGGACTCAACAAAGGCAAGCAAAGGTTTATTTGACGTCTCGAGAGGAGTCCTCTCATATTATATATCTATATATATATATATATATATATATATATATATATATA